GGTTTAAACAATTCGATTCCAAGTCTAGAAATTGGGAAAGTTTGCCTTCTTCAAACAAAAAATCAAATCTTTCCTCTCTATAATATCAGTGTAGATTATTGATTAATATAATATTATTGTAAATAAGCATTAAAAAGAATTTAGGTTTACGCACTTATATGGCCCTAGTAGTCCCAGTTGACGAATGCGGAATAAATTATTACCTGCGAAAAGGTCAAAAAGGTACAGGTGACGAAACAAGAAATTTTGGGGCAGGTGACGAATCACGAATTGACGAAACAAGAAGAATATACCTTCAGGTCAAACAACCGGAAATCAAGAAATGTGTAATTCTAACATATTTTGGAAAAAAACATAGATAATTGTATGTTTCTTAAAAAAAAAACAATGTGAAAGTGGAATTCAGACCACATGCCAGGTTATTTTATTTCCTTTTCAATGCCAAAGATAAAGTGGACGAGTTGGAGAAATCTGGAGTTGATAAGCTCAAGTGTCCGGAGTGTAATAGTGTTTATATGGGGCAAAGTGATCGAAATTTCAAAAAATGGTATGCTGAACATAAAAGGTCCTTTGGACTAGGTAAAAATGATCCAACGTTTTCAAACCATTCCTTGGCATGCAACCACAAGTTCCCGAATCTAAACGATATGGAAATTGTGCAGTATGCAAGGAAGGGTTGGAAACTCAATTATTCGAAATCCTGTGAAATTTACAAGCATAAACATTGCGGGTGCAACCTGTTACATGATCAAATCGATTTAGTTTACTCACCGGTTTTCAAATTAGTATATCCACATTGTCACTAGTAAACAAAATTCAGGTACTCAATCAAGCTAAGTACCTCTATTATTACCTACAGTGGTACTTTATAAAGGATAATGTAATCAACCATTGTTAGTTTATTATATGAGTTTGAAAATGTACTTGTAGGACGAAACTGCAGTAACGTTAGTCATAAATAAGTGGTAAAAAACATACAAAGTTTCAATTCTCGTTTCTTCATTATTTCCTCTTTGAAGATGATCACTTGGTGATCGAAACACGTTTCGAGGTGTTGAAAATAACGATTTGCTGTTGGGAAAAAACTCCAGTAATATTCATTACTACACCAAAGGTTCCAAACAGTGCATCATAAATTGTAGAATTACTTACTCGTTAAGTATATACGAGAAGATTCTCCTGTCTTAAGATACAACAACTTTAGTAAACACCACTCTGAGTGGATATGAACATGAACATCACAATAAGCAAACATTTGCACAAAATTTGAATATTTAAAAAAATATTTTTAAAGAAAACCATCTCCAACGTGCAGAATACGAGAAGGAAAACTTAACGTACTGTGGTCACTAAAAATATATCATTTGTCAAGCCAAATATGTTCTGTAATAGTTGAAGACTTTATGTCAATGTGAAATTTTCACTTCCTTTTCCTCCTCGTACTCTGCACGTTGGACATGGTTTTTTTTAAAAATATTTTTTTTAAATATCCAAACAAAAATATTCACATTTTGTGCAAATGTTTGCTTATTGTGATGTTCATGTTCATATTCATTTATTAAAGTTGTTGTAACTTAAGACAGCAGGATCTTCTTGTATATACTTGACGAGTAAGTAATTCTACAATATTAAAAGAATTTAAAGTTCAATCTAAAATTTAAATAAATATAATTGAATATTACTTACTTGCAGGTATCGCACTGATGATGGCGTAATAGCCGAAAGCGCTTTGCAATTTACAAATAATTTTTTTTTACACGAAATACGATTTCTTTCCTGATTTATCAGTCATGTGTATACATTTTTAACAAATCTCACCTTAGAAACGTTTGAAACTCATTCTATCCAAATGTTTGGAAACTAATAGATTTGAGAATTCTGAAAATTTACTGATTGACCAAATACAATTGAATGCTTTCCCGCTGTTAAATTTGTTTGGTGTAAATTATTAGTTTATTACTAAATGTTCGTTTAATCTAACCTCTGGTAAAATTATAAGTAATTAAATAGGTAGGTAGGTTGTTATCTCACTTAACACTCACTCATTCATCATCTGTGCTAGATGCACACTTAGAAAGGAATTTCGAATATTTCAACTACCCCCCCCCGCATGGATAATAAATATAAAATAATCCTCACATTTCAATAATTATAAATCACGAGTGTCAATTTGTTCCTATTCAAAAACGTTGAGGTTGAATAGCAATGAACTATTTGTACTCTGGTAATGAATATGGTTGTGCAATAAAATGGATAATAATAATATATGTAAATTACCTTAAGGATAGAAAATCATATCCATGAACAGATGAAAATACTAAATAAAATAAATATGTATACCGTATAAAACAGATGTATTGAAAAAATAATCTAATATTGCTCTACGATATACTCCCTTGAGGTAGAATCCAATCTCGTGACATGGCCACGAGTATGGATCTGTTCGTTGTAACCACCAACGGAATATTGAATGGATAAGTTTTGCGAGGTCTACGGTAAGGGACATTGAATCTCAGTCATGATAGGATTCCTGTAGCATTTATCCTGTTGTTCATTACATTATACAAAAAATTCATCATGGTGAGGGATCTCCTAGTCCCTGAAGAGAGAACTTTGAAGGCATGTCTAAGTTGATCGGATCTGATAACTTTCTGTAACATGAATACCTGAGCAATTCATTTTGTGTTTTCTCGACTGCATTGATTGTGGACCGATATTCACTTGACCATTTTTTTTGTTAGTATGGTCAGGTGAATATCGGTCAGTATCATAGGTAATAATTTTTTCTACACCCGTACTCTAACAATACACTTATATGACCATAATCCGTTTCATAATGATATCTATTATGATACAGATTTTTCATAACGATACAGATTATCAACCAATAGAAACCCATAATTTTTCAATCAAGAATACTGTTCCTTTGTTTGTCCTAGATTCTAACCTAAGTAACTAATTGCTTTATTTGTCAAAATCAGTATGTCTTAATAACCATCATTACATGATCGTTGCATAATATACTATTATAGTATTGTTATTTGTAAAGTTCCGAGTTTGTCTAATAATGTATCCTAACATTCAATTTGACGATTCAACAATATTTTGAATATGTTTGGCGAACGATAAAGTACTGTTGTGAGTTACTCCAAAAGCTCTAACCTCAGAACATCTGTGGAGGACTTTCCCATCCATTATATAATCAGAAATAACAGAATCCTTCAAACGAGATATTCTGATGATTCTACATTTGTCAATATTGAATTTCAATTTGTTTGTGATGCTCCATTCATAAATACTGTCGATGTCCCTCTGCAAATTAACACAATCCGTAACTGTTTGTATCTGTTTATATATTTTCAGATCATCGGCTAAAAGCAAGCATTCAGAAAATTTTAAAATGGAACGGAGATCATTTATGAATAGAACAGATAATAGTGGTCCAAGGTTAGATCCTTGAGGAACACCAGGGTTAGTATGAAATTTACCTGATGTGTTACCATTGTGTTTCACACAGAAGTATCTATTTTGTAAATAACTTTTCAATAATTTCAATGAATTCTCAGAAAATCCAATTTTATTTAGTTTATATAACAAAACATCGTCGTCTACTTTATCAAGAGCTTTACTGAAATCCGTGAATTTAGTATCGAGGTAACTCTTTAATTCTAGTGTATTATATGCATAATTAGTAAAAATGAATAGATTGGTATTGATTGATTTATTGTTAACAAACCCGTGCTGTTCTTCCGTGATATATATTTTTGCATTGTGAAATATTCGTGTATAAATAATTTGCTCAAATAACTTGGGCGGAGCGCACATTATGAAGATTGGCCGTTGATTTTCAATCCCACATTTTTCACCACTCTTATAAATAGGTGTTGTTATAGCAGTTTTCCACAAATTTGGAAAAACATTTGATTTGATGATAAGCTTCAATATGTGCAGAAGTGGTATTTTCACCCAATCGCCACAAGCTCCCAAAATGTATACGTAGGTTCGTTTTATGTTGTAGATGTGCAATAAGGAAGAATTTTTGAATATTCCAACAGGAGCGCCAGCCGCAGGAAAAAAGGAGCGTTCATAAAATTAAGTTACAAATCTTTAAAGAAATGAACTTTAAACGTTCAAGCCAGTCTCGAATATACCTACACAGTAGGTTGAACGGACTGACGCCTATCAGAAAACAACTACTCCCCTGGTTAATACCACGAAGGGCGTTGAATTAACTGAAAATTAAGTTACCTTTTCATTACTGTTTCTCTATACCGGCATTTTTCCAAGGTTAGAATTATGTATGTAGATTCGTTTTAAATTGTAGATGTAGAAAAAGAAAGGATTTTTAGATATTTCAACTGGGACGTCAGCCTCGGGGAAAATGGGGCTTCCATAAAATAAAATTATTTTTTCATTAGTGTTAGAAATCACACATTGAAAGGTAAGACATCGTTAGTCCTTAGCTTGCACAAGTTTCTCAACTTCTGAGAGTTGTCGTTCGTATGGAGGCAACAGCTGATTAACGGAAAAACAAGATTTTAAATAGATTTTTTTTCTGCATACCGGAATATTTTCGAAGGCTGAAATTTTGTATGTAGGTTCGTTTTATGTTGCAAACGTGCAATGATAAAAATACAGCATGTAATTTGAATGATTATTTTCGAAGATATTACAGATTCAAAATGCAGGTTACCAGGGACCGCCGTTGCAGTGGTACCTGGTAACCTGATGAGAGTAACCCCTAAAGAAAGCATCTTGTATATAAACACATTTTGTAATATATTTAGTATCAGCATTGCACCTATGCGGAACCAGGGCGGTTCGATAGTATTATATAAAGCACTAATTAGGTAGAATTTATTCAGTACGCATGATGAAACTTTCTAACCGAAACACGTGTTGCGGTTCCGTAAACTGTTCAGTAAAAATCTCACATTGAAGTGTGACTTGAATCAGTCATAAAATTGAATTCGATTTTGTTGTGGATTATTTTTACTCACTTGCATGGCTATACTTGGAGCTGATAAAAATGGTTTCTCTGGAAGCACTGGAGGAGGTGGTGGTTGTGACTTATACACCTTTTCCGGCATGAATTTCAGACTGGCTTGCGTATTCTTCCAGAACGTTCGGACGGGTAGGGCGACTGGCCGTGGTGGCGCTTGTGGGATACCCATTGGAATTTTATGTGAGTCGTGCATCATGAGCGGCATTTGTGGAAAAGGTCTGCGTAAATGTCCTCTCGGTGGATACTGGGGCGGTTGATGCCATTTTTTAATGAACTGCTGCGATGTTGGAATTCTGGGAGGATAGGGTGGTCCACGGATTTTGTACCTTGGATACTCCGCTCCAAGTTGGGTCCATAGTGATAGTAGTATAAGAAGAATGATCTGGAATTGATTGATAATATATTAGTTGAGTACCGAAATAATATACACAAAAATATACAGCATTTATTTCGGCTTTGAATAAAAATCAACCGAAGAAATATTGCTGGCATAGCTTCCCCACTATGGCTTCAAAGGAGAATAATATCCAATTGATCTTATTGAAATATCGATACACTGGCCTACCATTCGATGGAAATCAACAACACTATCCATAATAATGAAACAATTATCACACTGAAACCACCACTGAAGATGCATTTCGCTAAACAGTAGCTTCCTCAGTTACTGAGAAGCTGAGAAACTATGAATAACTATCAATTACCTACAGCATATTGATATTAATAGGTAAATTCACAACCATATTATGGAACGAAAAAATGCACGAACGCAAGAAAATGACATCAGAGATGATAGTAATTCTTTGAAAAAAATTGTCTCACATTAAATTCTTCCAAAACACGTATTATATGTCACATAATATTGAAAACTGCCCAAATACAAATTTCTTGAGATATATGTAGACAATCTAAAATTTGAAAACCATAGGTATGTTGAAATCAAAAAAAAATTGGTTTCTGACTGATATCTAGAAAACTTGGAATTCTTATGCAGGGTACCTACTTTGATCCTACAAGAACATTATGCAATATAGCAGAGCCCAAATGGAGTAATTTATAAGAAACATATCAATATCGAGAATGTTATAAACAAATTTAACTATTTCACCAAAAATAACGTTTTGAAACTTGTAACTCAGAAAATCCGATATGAAAGAAATATTCACAAAATAACATTGAAATATCCTAATAATAGATATTGACTTCATTGTGCAAATTTGAATGTTCAAGCTTGTGAAAGTGCCCAGGAACTATCCCAGAAATAAATTTCATATTATCAACATTAACACTTGAAAATCACAGAAAATGACATATTCTATTAACGAATCGGTAGAGTCAGATATTCTATAAACATTCCTTTTCCTATAAATTCACTGTTCAATTCAACTTCGATGTACCTTAATTTTGTTAATGTTACATACAAGTTAAAGTAAAAGGTTGAAACGTGTCGAGAACTATGTGGTATCAGGGTGGATAAAAATTACAAATAAAAAACTCAAAAATAAAATTGGCAAAAAAATTATTTTAAACGGTTTCATTAAAAAAAAGGTGATGTACTAGAAGGTGAAAAATAATTTGGAAAGTCCTAGGTAGCAGTCATCGTACCACTCGCCTCAGCAATCTACGGTATTGACCAGATGAAAAAAATATAATTGTTGGGAGTAGCGTAACCTGAGTGAATATGTAAATACTACACCCAACGATCCTATTATTTTTTGATCTGATGAATACCGTAGATTGCTGGGGAGAGTGGTGTGATGACTGCTACCTAGGACCTTCCGAATTATTTTTTAGCTTTCAGTACATTATCTACATGATTATTATTTTTTCAATAAAACCGTTTAACATAAATTATTTACTTATTTTATTGTTTATTGTTGGGTGAAATTGAAGATATTATTGTGAATGGATTTTCTCTCCCTTCTAGATAAACGTTGGCTGCTGACACGAACTAATGACAAAGACAATGTTACCAAGATTATGGTTTATCAAAGTTGAATAAATTACGGTTCATCAAAGTTGAATGAAACAATGCAGGAACTTTCATTGTATCTCTTACTTTCACCGATGTTTTAATGGAAAATGATGTTATTTTGTGTAATTTCCATATGTTTACGTTAATATATAATTAATTCATTTCCAGGACAGTTTCTAGTCACTTGCACAATCTTTAGAATTGAAATTTGAACAATGAAATGAATATCCAATGTTGGTTAATTTCAATGCTATTCTGTAAATAGTTGTTGCATGTCGAACTGAGTTGAAAATTTCAAATACCTAGTAAGTGGATTATTATATGTGATTTTCAGTGAGCTATAACCATAATTAACTTGAAATTTCTCATATGCTCCCCCTTCTGGTCTTTCCTACAATCTCTTGGTGTTGCAGCTACTAGAAACGTTCAAGTAGTTTGAGTGGACAGAAGATACTATAGCTTCAGTGTGTTTTCAGGGCATGTGGGTAGGGTTATAGGTTAAGATTGGGCAGATAGAGGGGGCGGTTACCTCAATTACATATTCAGGAATAGTCGTTAGAAATAGAAAATGTATTCAAGTATTTTTTTAATCTGTATAATAAATTATTTTCAAAACCATAAATCTAGTAGTCGAAAAGTAATGACCTATTGTGAGTAGAAAATGTAAATATCGGTCACTGGGAATATCGAGTGGATAACTCGGGATACTGTGGAATATTTCAGAACAACAATCAAAGTATTGGACGAAAGTCATATTTTGTGGGGCATAATCAGTTTTTTTATTGACCATTAAAATTTTTATATTTTTCAGATTGTGGAAGGTGGAAATACCCAAAAAAGGATTTATGAAATTTTTGAACTGGTCATGTAAAGAATAACCAATTATGATAACAATTCGGCACTGATGTAAACTGGTGAAACATAATTTTTCAGATATCTTCACAAAATCAACTGTAATTTTTTTCAACAGCTGATGAATCGGTTTGGAACTAGTAGGTACAATTCGATTCGAGATTAGATATACAGGGTGTTTCAAATTCTATCTTTACCATTAGGATCTCGGAAAGAGATACGAAGATGGTTAAATTGGGGCAAAGTTGCGCATTCATCTGACTAACAATATACCGTTCAGAAAGTTCTGAAATTCCAAGTATATCCGGAGGTACCCGGAAAAACAGAATTTTCGGAAAATAGTTTTTTTCTGGCTTCATTTTTCGAAGGATTCGAAAATAAATTGCACTTCCACCCTGCCACTCTTTCTCTGCTACATGATGTTGTTTTCAGGTTTGCTATCCGACATTTCGTCTTCCGGCCACCATCATCAATTTAATTTTTTTTAATGGGCGCTACATTGGATTTTTTCTGTTTTGAATGGAACCAGATTTAATTTTTTTAATGATGTATCATAAGTTATCATACTTTTTCGAAAAAGTTGAGATATTGAAAAAATTAATTCTTATCATAATAGGCTTTGACTTTTGATGTTTCTAAATTTGACTTTCAATTTGTTACACTCGATCACATTTTTTTATTATACAAGTGATTGAAATTTTGGTGAGAAATGGCTTTCACGAATGAAGAAAAAAGAGATATGATACAAATTTATTACAAATACGATAGAAACAGTGTTAGGATATCGGAAATGTATTTAAATTTGTATCCCGAAAGACGACATTCACATCGAACTATGTTGTTAAGTTATTGGATCAAAATCTCACCGAGTTTGGTTCATTTGAAAAGCCGGGGAAAAACACGGAGACAGAATGGACCAGGAATTGAAAAAAAAGTGATAAATGAGGTATGTATGAGATAAGTTAGACATTGTATCCTTTTCAATTAAAATTAATAATTTGCAGATAAACATGAACCCGGGGAAATCTACACGTCAAATTTCCTCCGAAATGAATATTTTTCATATAAGTGCTTGGAGACATCTCAAAAAAAGTGGTTTAAAATATTACAAAATACACATATCTCAAAAATTGCATACAGGTGATCCTGAAAGGCGATTAGAATTTTGTATTTGGCTAATAAGAAGACCTGACTTTTCTGTTTTTCTGGAAAATGTAATTTGGAAAGATGAAAGCACTTTTACGAATTGTGGCATATTCAACCGAAATAAGGAACGCATTTGAGGCATAAACAACCCCAGGCTGTTACGAGTTACGAGTCACCAGTTTTAAATGTGGTTTTCGAAGATTATTTGGATGATCCACCTTTGGCTAACTATAACAACATCTGGTTTCAACATGATGGTGCTCCACCGCACACAACCAGACGAGTATCTAATTACCTGACTGAAAGGTTTGGTGATAAATGGATAGGGAATAATGGGTCGGTGGTGTGGCCAGCAAGGACTCCAGACTTAAGTGTTATGGATACATTCTTATGAGGTACACTGAAAAATAGAGTTTTTGGTCAGAGAGAAGATCAAAATATTGAGGACCTTCAATACAGCATTGTTAGAGAGTTCGGAAAATTGATGAAGAGTAAAATTAATCGTGGAGTGAATAATATTCGAAAAAGGGCACAGTTGTGTATATCATGAACAAGGCTAGCATTTTAAGCATTTGCAGTGATTCACTTTTGTCTTCAGGTACATTTCAGTTAATTATTGTTATTTGTTCAAAGTTCTATTTTCATTGAAAAAAAATCTGTATAAAAAATATGTTTTTCCTTTAATCAGCTGCCGCCCCCATACGAACGACAACTCTCAGAAGTTGAGAAACTTGTGCGAGCTAAGGACTAACGAGGTCTTACCGTTTAACGTGTGATTCCTAACGAAGGACACAATGTTTAATTTACCTCATACACACCTTATTTATACAATTTTTATTGTTGATTCTGTCTCCGTATTTTTTCATTGGCTTTTCAAACGAACCAAATTCTGTGAGATTTTGATCCAATAACTTCAACATAGTTCTATGTGGTTGTCGTCTTTCGGGATACACGTTTGAATACATTTCCGATGTCCCAACAATGTTAATATCGTATTTGTAATAAATTTGTTCATATCTCTTCTTTCTTCATTTGTGAAAGCCATTTCAATGATTTGTCAAATAACAAAATGTCATTGAGTGTAATAAATGAAAAGTCAAATTTAAAAACATCAAAATCAAAGCCTATTATGGTAAGAATGAATTTTTTTCAATATCTCTAATTTTTCGAGAAAAAAAATGATAACTTATGATACATCATTGGATACATCTGGTTCTATTCAAAACAGAAAGAATCCAATGTAGCGCCCATAAGAAAAAATAAAATTGATGATGGTGGCTGGAAAACGAAACGTCGGATAGTGAAAACACCACTATGTAGCATGAAAAAGTGGCAATGTGGAAGTGCCATTTATTTTCGAATCCTTCGAAAAATAAAGTCAGAAAAAAACATTTTCCGAAATTTCTGTTTTTTCCGGATGTCTTCGGATGTACTCGGAATTTCAGAACTTTCTCAACGGTATATTGTTAGTCAGGTAAATGCGCAACTTTGACCTAATTTAACCATCTTCATATCTCTTATAGTTTCCGAGATCCCGATGGTGAGGATCGAATTTGAAACACCCTGTATAACATTATCTCAAGAAAAATTTATTGAACCCCGTTTATCCATGTAGTCACTTGGAGTATTATTACAAACTGAGAATTTATTTTGAAATTGATTGCTTTCTTCATTCCGTAGGTTATTCCTCAATTTTTTGTAAAAAGATGAAAAAGTAGAAAGCTAAAACCTTTATTTCTCAAAAACTAATACCGTTCGGTATAAAATTCGCAAATGTATCAGAAAATGACATTAAAAAAATTATAAATGTATAACTAGACATAGTCAAAATTGTTTTTTTATTCTGTTCTCTGTACACAATCAGCTATAGTTTCTAACTACGAAAAAGTATAGATCATTTAATTACCAATAAAAATACATTGGATTTAGTGACTGTACGCCTTTACTGGATAAAAAATATTTCATTGACTCACTAAGAAGGGGATGAAAAAAATTATTTTGAACAATAATGGTCGATAATGAAAACAGTTTAATAACTAAAAAGTTACCGGTTTTTATTAGATTTTCTTAATGGTAAAAATGTCACTTCTGAGGTTGTCTTATGTAGATAAGATCCCACTACATTTGATTTGGAAATTCTGAAATTATTTTTCGACTTTCACTGCAAGCAATTTCTCTCATTGCTTTTTTAATAATATTCTTTGGGGTTTGAATTCCAATTCTAACCCTAATAGAAATGGAGTTGTTATATTGAAAAAATATATTTTTACTGCAGTATCGATATATTCAACAAATATATATTGTTGGGTCACCCAGTATATATCCTTTCTGAATCCAATTAGGTGTGTATTAGCTACACGAAGTACACTTCCGATTCATTCGTAACGAAACATTCAAATCGATATATGATATGCACATTTGGTAAACACTTATATGGAAACGAAAGTATTAAGACAGTTTAAGAATACTTAATGATTTTATGAGTTTATAAACCTTTCGTAAGCCATAATTATATTTCTTGAACATATGAAGTTATTTTTATAAATAGTATCTATGAGTAGTAATAATAATAATAATAATAATGCAAGCTTCAGACCTTTGAATACATTTGTAGTCTTTACGGTGATAAAAATAACGATCACTATCTAACTTTCCAGTGGATGTTGGGAACATGAAACATGGTTTTGAGTTCGATTTAAGATACAAACATTATTCTGAGACTTGTGAGATAAAACAAGAACAGAGCTACTTGATCATGAATTGTTCATGCAGAAAAAATGTTTTATTATCAATTTCCGTACGAATAATTGATATTGTTATAAGCTCAAGATTTTGTTTCTATGTCCTTTTCTCTCTTACAGTACTGCAATCTATAAAGTATTTCTACACAACTATTATTAGAATTCCGAAGTCACTTCAACACCTTTCTTGTGGAGTTGTTCAGTTTTCTTTAACTAGTTTTTTGAAGTGAAATCATAATGAGTCTGATGACTCTGTCGAGGAGAGATACAAACAAACTAATGAAATGTAAGGCATTGGATCACAGAAGATATACATCTAGCAAGGAACATGTACAAACTAGGGCAGGGCACAAGCTTTTTGTAATCGGTGTCATGAAAAAGATGGGAGACGGCTCCCAAGTAGTAGAAAAAAAACCTCAGTAGTGCAAAAAATTTATCTCGGTTAGTTCTTCAGAAACACTTCTAGTGAATTTTCAATATACGAGTTCCTTTCCAGAATAATCAGAAATTTAAATTTTTCAAGTTTGTAAAATAGGAATACATTAATTTTATAAAGTTCAATTCTCCTCCAAATGCAGAATTATCTCTCCATCAAAAAATCCAAAACATTAGACCTAGCTGTGTTTGGGTTGGTTTTCGGGTTTTACCATGGCCTTCTTTGGTTATAATCTGAAACGTTTCAACTGCAACTGCGGCAGTTATCTTCAGTGGCGTAGTCAAAGTACTCTTATTGACGTTTCAACCAAGGCCGTGCCAAGGGGGGACGTTCGGACTCCCCCCTGGGACGGATAATACAACTGCACAACCATTGGATGACACGATCATAGCGTCCCGGAAAAACCTTGAGATTAACTGCAACAATATGGTGGGGCAGGGGTACGATGGGGCAGCTGTGATGAAAGGTGCTGTTAATGGTGTACAAGCAATAATACGGAAATCATATCCCCGAGCTCTCTTGTCCATTGGAGTTCTCATTCGTTAAACTTGGCCCTCTGTCATTCATGTAGTGTACTTCCTATAAGAAATTATATAGGAACTGTGAAAGCAATCGAAAATTTTTTGAGATCATTTCCAAAGCAAATAAGCTTCCTTCAGGCACGCATTAGGGCCAACTTTCCTGTTGCAACATAGCAGAAATTAACACCAATGTGTGAAACGCGGTGGGTGGAAAATCATAACGGCTTCTTCTTTACTGAGATCCGCTCTTGCCAGCGAATTCGTGGTATCACTTTGTTTTTTTGGCGAAGGTATTTGGAGCAACATCAACAGTATGCGAAGTCCTGTATCACCTCTTTGTGACTTAATAACAGCTGTCGCCCATATTGAGAACGAATATCGCACTTTAAAGATATTCGATCCAATATAGAAAAATTATTTTCAAGTTCATTTACAGAAGCAAAGGATTTGTTGGCCAATGTCAATGACAAGATCAAACTTTCACGGTTGACATCAGTATAGAAGCATCGCGCTAATCCAAATACTAATAACGCTGAATAGTATTACTGTTGCAATACATCTATTAGAAGACTTAACTTCCCAGCTCAAAATAGGATTTACTGACCACAAGAAAGTGATTGCTGCTATGTACACTCTTATACCAACAGTCTGTGACGAGAAGAAAACGCCATTCGCAAGAGAGGACCTAGTGATGTAACCTGGTGGAACTAGACGAAACATAAGGTGAATTTCAACTATGGAAATTGTTGTGGCAGAGCAAAAGCTCTTCGGACCGGCCGTCTGGGCCGTTGAGTGCAACAGGCAATTGTATCCCAACATTTATTTATATGTTGTTGAACATCTTGTCGCCTCAACCAGTAACCACATATACCCCGGAAAGGTTATTTTCTACACTAAGGCGCTTAAAAACCTACCTACGGAATTCTTGTGAGAAAGAGAGTCTAACCGGGTTGATCCTAATGGCATCATCTCAACTGATCATATGAGAGAATTTGCCTAAAAAAATCTACAGGACTTGATTGAACAGGAAATTTTAGGTTTTGAGTTTTAAAAACGAATATTACTATTTCGACTGAATTAAATTCACCTATTTCCACTTCCTGTCGGAATCTTTGGAGAAGGGCTGCCAGATTGATTCTTTTTACACTGACTTCTCTAAGGCGTTTGACAGGGTCAACCATAACCTCTTACTCCAAAAGCTCAACAGATATGGTGTAGGTGGGGCACTATTGGAATGGATTAGTAGTTATCTTACGAATAGGACTCAAATGGTTAGAGCAAATTATCACTACTTCACGTTATTTGAAGTAACTCAGGGGTCACACCTCGCTCCCTTATTGTTCAATTTATTTATTAAAGACATAAATCATTGCTTCTGGTACGCCAAAGCACTATTATTTGCAGATTATTTAAAATTTGTCCTAATTATTAACACCTCTCTGGATGCCCATAGGCTTCAGTCTGATTTTGACAATCTATCAAACTGGTACTGTTACATTTCAATGTACAGTCTTGCCAAATGGTACTAACAAACTGTTGTTTTTTGTTTAATCAGTGAATTCATGGAAATTCTTACCGGAAGACCTTTTGGTCAAACATTTTGGCCACATCATAGTGTTCAATAAACACCATGAGCTTAGACCTATCAGGGAGTCAAGTTGTCTTTTTTCTTTCTCAGAAGTTTTCAGAAAGACTATTCCATTGAAAATTATAAAAAACTTGATACAATCTTTACAACAAACTACTCAATAAAAGGAAATGCAGTTCCTAAGAATGATTTAGGTTTAACATAGTGGTCAACTCTCCAAAAGGTTTATAATAAACAACTGTTCTTGAAATACTTTTCACTTCTCAGATCCGTGACTATTTTCCTAAACTGCTAAAATAATTATTTTTCGGTTCGAAAACGAAAGATTTTTTCATTCGCTTAAAAATTGTAAACTACAAACGTTGATACTAACCTTCATCGTTAAGAATAATCAAAAATCCAATTTTTTTATCGATGTCATGCATGCGCTGAAGAATATTTCTCACTTTCCACTCCGTATAACCCACTAAGAACACTCAAGAAGTAATGCCACTCGTCGGAAGAGTCATAGTAAGAAACTAAACAAATAGGTCAGTAATTCAACTTTTATACCGTTTTATATCTTCACTTCGAGAGATCGATGTACTAGGCGGTTCAAAACATGTCCGAATAAAAGTAGTTGTAATGGTAAAATGAGAATGGAACTCAAGATTCTCTCTAGAAATAATCACTGAGTGATGAGTTGGTACACGTTCATATATTAACAAATAATTCGACGTGACCGGCGATACCTATAGATTAACTACTAATGGGTTTTTTCCATTTGAAATTTCTAACTAGGAACTGCTCTGACAGTGAAAAGCAGTTGGAGTAAATAGAATAACATTGTTCACCACAGTGAAAAATTGATTTTGAATGTATCTGGAAACTCTTTAAAACCATTGTGGCAACTATTACAATGTATCTATCTATCTATTTATTATTTCAGTTTTTACACGCTTCACCTGTATGTATGTATGTTTGTTTGTTTGTTTGTAACTCTCAAGGTCGGGATCTGTATTTGACAGAATTATCAACATTATTGCTTGATCTATTCGCGGACAGATGGCGTTGTACGTAAACTCCTTGATATATCGACATTATTGCTTGATCTATTCTCGGGCAGATGGCGCTGTGCGTAACCTTCTTGATATAATTCGAACTCGCTTTACATGTATTTCACTATTATTTCATTTTAGGTTTATTTTTCTTAATATAATTGTTATTTTCAGCTATTCATTTTCAATTCTTTTTTTTAGTTGTTTCAGGGATTTCAAATAATTTCATATAGTAGACAATGGAAGTCCGAACTAGTGAAATTCATGGAAATAAGTGTTTAAGAACACTTGAAATGTTGACAGTTGCATACGGTGATTGTACTCTCAATTAAGAAAAGTGTTTACAAGGTTGAGAAGATGTGAATGACGACGCTCGCCCTGAACGGCCCAACACATGAACAACCGATAAAAATGTTGAGAAAGTGAAAAAAAAAATTGGAGGATCGTCCACTCACTATGAAAAAAGTTGGTGAGGATGTCGGCATATCGGTTGAATCATGAAGTGTGTGGTGTGTTCGTTCCAAAATTGTTAATTTTGACAGAAAAAAGCGCCGCATGACCATCGCTCAAGAGTTGTTGAATCACATCGAAACCAAAGGCCAATCATCCCAATAGAAGATATCGGGACAGCCAAGATTAAAAAAAGCATGCAAAGTTTGATCAAACATCGGAATTTTACTCACTGTTTTCTTCGATTACCGTGGTGTAGTGCATCAGGAATTTTTGCCACACGGTCGTACGACCAATAAAGAGTATTATATTGAAGTTATGTGCCCCTTGCCAGAAGCATTACAAAGAAAACGGCCGGTATTGTGGAAAAACAATTCATGGTATTTCCATCATGATGATGCACCTGCAAATCGTTTCAATAATATGGCCTGCTATGGGTTACTAGGCGACTGCTTTGGGTTCCTAGGGGACTGCTATGGAATATGTTTATCGCCACAACTTTTATTTCTGCGTCGGGAAAATTTATAAAACGCAAGATATGATGTGCACTAAAAAGGGATGACGAGAAGCAAGAAGGGGATCTGCCCTTCAGGTCAGAGAATTAGGTAGAAAAAATCTATAAAATATATATATACCTATAAGAGCTATAGTTAATTGATAACACAAAAATCACTAGCCAACAAATAATACATAAAATTGCGACTATTATTATAATAGCTATACATAAGAGTTTGAAGCATTCTGACTGCGACTTCAACATCAAAAATTTTCCATCACGTAAAGATTTTGAGTTATAGTTATTTTCACATATTATAAGGAAATATAAGAACAAAACAAGAAAAAAACAATATATTTTGAGGATAACAGACTTCATTTACAATACACATGAAAACACATTCAAATGAAGTCTTTCGTCCATAACCTTTTTGCAAATGTTGACTTTCGTTTATATGTTTCATCGTTTTCCCTCATAAGGAACCAACAATAATCCCCCATCATTGCTGCATCCTATCTACCTTGGTAACGTTGCTCCATTGTCAGTATGTCTTGGTGGAACCTTTCCCCCTTGTTCGTTACTGACAACACCCAAATTTTCTGGAGAAAAATTCAAATGGGAGTGCAAGAAATGGATTTTGAGAGACATGCGACTACTTTCTGCAGTAGTTTTCAAATAGTTCTTCTACAAGTGTTTCGTAATTTTCTACTTTCTTGTTCCCTAAAAACTCCGAAACAATTCTTTTGAAAGAACTCCACACAGCTTATTCAACATTACTTAATTTTTGATCAAACTGTTGATTACTTAGTAGTTTTCTAATTTGTGGTCCAAAAAATATACGTTCGAGCTTTGCATCACTTAATTTTGGAAAAAGGTGTTTAAGATATTTACACGCATCACATTCTTTGTCTAATGCTCTTAAAAAATTTTTCACTAACCCCAGTTTAATGTGTAATGGAGGTAACAAAACGTTTTTGGGATTAACAAGAGGTATATTCTTCACGTTAGCTTGACCTGGAATATATTTATCTCCCGGAGGCTATTATTTCACTTGATAATGGCTTCTGTGTTGCCCTGCTGTTCCAAAGGCAAAGAAAACAGCAAAACTTCGTTAATCCATCCTGAAGACCTAGTTATAGTCCTATGACTTTTAGGTCACCACATATTTGCCACATATACCTATTACAAATTATTGCATTTAGAATAAGTACTTTCGTGTGTTTCCTTCATGGCAACTGCATGTGCAAGAGGAATTGAGGATCTTTTGTTACCATTCCCCCATGCCTCCTCCCGGGTTGAGTGCCCTGGAGTAAAAACTTCGTCCCACAAGATAAATATTCTGAGGAAAACTTAATATACTATTTATTCCATTTTGTTGTGGAATTGGCCGCGGTGGTAGTGCGTCCGACTCATGATCGGAAGGTCGTGTGTTCGATTCCCGCTTCGACCAGATATTTTTCTCGAGATAATTTATCTGGTTGAAGCGGGAATGATTTTGCAACCGTGTTAAGAATCACACGTTAAAAGGTAAGACCTAGTTAGTCCTTAGCTCGCACAAGTTTCTTAACTTCTGAGAGTTGTCGTTCGTATCGGGGCGGCAGCTGATTAACGAAAAAACATATTTTTTTTAAACAGATTCAAGCGGTCGGTAGCCAAGCGGTTCGGGTGATTTGTTCACTCACTTGAATTGACTGTGGTTCAAGCTCTAGTCTGAACGATCAATCTTCACTTGCTATCGTCCAACCCGTGTTAGGAATCACACGTTAAAAGGTAAGACCTCGTTAATCCTTAGCTCGCATAAGTTTCGACTTCTGAGGGTTGTCGTTCGTAGGGGTGCGACAGCTGGTTAACGGAAAAACAGATTTTAAACAGATTTTTTTTTAAACAGATTCACCCCCGCTTCTCCGGAGCGGTCCTCAGTCCTACTGATGAGCACTTCAACAAGATTGATATCTGACCGTATTTGGTCGAAAGTATGCCTTTAGGTGCGACTCTCGGGGGTGGTTTTTGGTTCTGCTTCGTTGGCCTCCTGTGTTTGCCCCTCTCTCGAAATCTAGGGTCATCCCTGTTTAATGCGTTGTGTAAGTCGCTTAGCGCTGGGTTGTTGTGCGCTCGAATTCTGTCGAACGTGTCCTCTGCATGTTTCCTCATGTATGCGTCCACGTAGTGTATGTTCAAGATATGTACCTATTCGGTACATATCTTGGAACGTTTACGGAGGCCCTTACGCACGCGTTCATAAACGACTGGATCTGTCTTCTATATGTCGGTCAATCTAGACATTGAAAGGTACATAAATTTACAACAAGCTGCAAACGTGTGTAATTGTTCAAAACATAGTTAAAAACAAGATTTTATAATTCCGAATGATTGCGATGCCTGGAAAAAAATTTAATCGAGGTCAAAGGTCAAAAATCTCGCGATTTTCAGGAAAACGTTTTATCATATCATAAAATTACTTCAGATAAAAATTGTAGATCATAAAATTCTCTACAAAAAATGTATCATTACTTTTTTCTTAGAGCCACCGTTTCTGAGATACGACGAGTCAAAAAGTTGTAATCGTCATTATATGCACACGTTTCCACGCCACCTATGAGGTAGTGTACTTAGCACATTTTTTGAACGTGGTTTCCCCAGTAGACCTATTCCACATGTCTGTTTTGATTCTGTCAAATTGAAAGGGTTGGGTAGGAAGGGTTGGAAATTATAAAAGCGATTGAAATTCAAAAAATGCAAAAAATTATTCATCTGAGTCATAACCTTCAAATACTTCTTCTTGTCGTTTTTCTTCTTGGTTTTCTTCTTCTTGATCTTCTTCTTCTTCTTGATGTTCATCCTGGGTGTAGGTAAATTGCGTCAAGAGTGATGTATCGCATGTTTCCTCGTTGGTATCAAATGAATCCTCCACTATTGGTGATTCAGCATTAGAACATGACTGGCCTTGACAATGTGTACATGCCAGAGACCACAACAGTCCAACTTTTTTACAGCCACATTTAGTGCTGCATCCCTTTTTACAGTTGCAGTCTTTTGGGTCTAGCTGATAACCAAGCCACACTTGAACTTGGTAATATACCCGGAAAAGATGTTGATGAGCAGCAACTGAGGTTGGAGGAAGACACGCTAATTGCACCTGTTTCTTATTTTTATTGTTTTTTACGAAACATGCATATCGATACCTTTGTATCTAAGCAGGTGGTTTTTTTCGGAGCTTAGTACAGAGAAAGAAGAAACTGAATCCCGTTGGTGATAATTTCTTGTTGAGTCGAATTACTTCTTTTGAAAACTTCAGCACATTGAACTAAATCTTGTTTTTCAAACATTTTAAAGACTGTTGCTTTACCCCTCCTGTAAAATGCAGACGTCGTATCACAGCCAGTTATTGCGTGGTTTCTTTTTTCGTGGTGTTCTTGTATTGGACTGAATATTTATTAGTTAGTTAAAACAGGTGTTTGCTAACTTATCGAGTATGTATCATCTATGCAAAAAAATATTTACTGTATAAATGTTCTCATTATTGTGTTTGCTTTTTGTATTGCACTGTCATTTCCATATGTATATATTTTTTTAAGTGTGATGCTTTTTTTCGTAATGGTCTTGTATTGGATTGTAGTTATGTAGTGAAGTGAGATAATTTTATCTCGAAACAAGTGTTTGCTCACTTATC